ATTATACTCAAAAAATATTATGCAAACCATTAACCAAATAATATACATATATTTACATGGGTATAAGAAAAAAAATGTAATAGTTCTATTTATTACTGAATGATAATATGATGTACCTACCTAGCTAAAAGCTTAAATAACTAAATCAGTGACTGTGAATATCGTTTTTAGATGATAAAAACTTGATTTTCATTTTGAGGAGGCTTTTACTGGAGATAATCTTAACTGTAATATGTTAAAATATTAAATAATGCTATATTGTAGACATAATGCGGTAAATATTATAACTTGTGAAAATATTTTTTAGATTAAAAATTGGTGGGGCGGAGGTTGCTTCCACGACTTAGTTCTAATAGCCAATATCCAATGGGGGAGGTGGCTATATAAGTAATTGTTCATTGCCACACCTAAAAAAAAATAGTTCGGCGCCACTGTTGCTATAGTAGCATTATCAGTGTTACACAACATGAAATTACATTTTAAAAAACACTTAAATATCAATAATATAAATCCTAACGATAACAACAATAGTAGCACAGAAGATAGTAGTGAAGATTATGATTATAATGAAGAAAGTGAAAGTGATAGTTCTGCAGATGAGGACAATTATAATGTTGTACAAATAAACCAAAATAGAGGTAATGTAGCAAGAGCGCAGACATACGATAGTTTTTTTATTAAACGTATGTAATATGTATATTATAGGTAGATTACATATCATATTATTATTAGTTAAAACTTTTTTATTTTTATTCTTGTAACTTTTGTAAATAAAAACAAATTTCATAATATATTTTATAGTACCTAATAATTATCATATTAATATTTATTATTTAACAATATATTTTTGAAACAATCGTAAATAAATAGGTAGTTTAAAAACAAATCACATAATATATGTTTATTACTTATAGGTATCTAAATAACTGATAACATAGTTATAAATATAATAAAGAATAATGTTTAGTATTTTATAATAATTAAAGTATATAGGTAGGTATATTATGTATAGGTATAACAGAATTGTTGCGTAATATAAGTAGATGACGAGAAATTAAAAATGTAATCTGATACCTATATTTAATCAGAACAGTTTAAATCTTGAATCTGTTTCAAGTTCTCCAACTGTTTTGTTTTTAATTCATAATACTTCAATTTTGCTTCGTTTATGAGAGAGCGCTGGTGATGTTCTAAAGTCAAAAACTTTTTTTCTAATTCAAACTTTTCTTTTTGTATTTTTAATAAATTTGCTTCGTATTCAGTCATTTGTATATCTAAATTATTTCCGTTAAATCCTTGATTTTTTTTTTTTTGTACCTAATACAAATACAAATTCTAATATAAAGGTATGTTACTACTTAGTACTTACTAAGAACAGTACCCCCATATGATTTCAGTACTTATACGTTTATACGTATTTATATCGTTCTATGGTGCGTCACTATTGATTTAACAATTAATTATAATATAATATATAATATATAGTATTACTTTTATATATATAATATATTAAATATTTGATATTATTTTTTGTGATATTTAATTAAATCATATAAAAAATAAATTACTAATAGCAATACAACTTTATTATATATTTATATAACATAATTAGGTAGCATTATATGATAGTAAAAGACATTACTTTTTTGGTCTGGTTATTTGTAGTAGGTGAATAATTGTATTCATTTTCATCTACTTCCTCAAGATCAGGTCTTATCATTGAACAACTTTGATTATTTTTTTGAAGGTCTTCATCGTGTATCAATACGTCATGATCAATGATTATGTGCTTTAAATTTAAATATAACTTATTAACAAATAAATAGTTTAAATTAACATAAAATTAGCTTATACATCTTCAAAATCATTTCTTTGTAAAAACTCATCTAAGCTTTCAGCACATATTTGTATACCGGTATTTGAAGTCGCTGTCGATGATGCAGGTGACTCTTTTTCTAATATTTTGAAATCATTTGTTACAGTTTTGTTTATGCCAATCTAAATAAGAAAAAAAATAATAATCATAGTTAAAAAGAATAACAAAGTCAATAATATTATTAAAAACACTACTATTATTACGATCACTACTTTTTTTTTTAACAACATTAAAGTAAAATATTTAAAATGTCTATAAATAGCTCAGAAAAAAAATACAAAAAACACATAATTACAATTATTATAAAAATTATAAATACTATACCTTTTTAGTTGAGCCGTCATTGTCACAGTCAAAATCGTTTGCATCTTTAATAAAGTCCATTGGCATTAAAGACTGCAATGTCATGTCTAATTTGTTTATTGATTCTGGTGGAGGACCTCCTCCAGTTTGTTTTAAATTTTGTTTATATGACGAAACATTTTTTTTGGCAACTATTTTCCTTCTTTTCCATTCGCCTTTAATTTGTAGTAATGTTCTTTGAGTTTTTGAATTACCATTATATTCTTTATAAATTTGTGACCACGCTTCTAGTTTTGACTTATTCGTATTTGTGTCACAATTTTTATTTTCAATCACTTTGATAAATTTTGTGACGATTTCAGTTAGTAGCTCTTTCTCTCCACTTTCCCAATTAACCCTTTTTTGTTTATCCATTTTAAAATGGAATCACGCAATTTAAATTATAATTTTAAATAATTAAATACCACTAATAAACTCAAAAATAGAACACGAAACTAAAAATAAATTCATATAGGTAATCTAAAAATATTTTACCACAATTCATAAAATATAACGATAACAATGACATGAAAAAAAAAGCACCTGGAAAAACTGTCGCGTTCGCATTAAAATAATAGAACATAGAATGTATTTTTACCTTATTTTTTTTTTTAGATTGGCAACAATTAGTAATAATATGGAAATTTGGGTGGCTCTATAGCTGTTTATAATAAACCAAAGATAATCCACAGTTTTTCAAAACTTAGCCTAGACCATTGACTATGTTGACTATGAATAATACATTATTAAACCCGAGTTTAACCAAGGTCTAAGAATTAAACCAAGTTTATTCAAACTTAGGTTAAACCTTGGTTTTTGACGATGACTATGAATAACACGTCCACCCGCCGCACCCATTCGAACTCGCGTGTTTGCGACGACGAAAATCTGCCGACTGTTCGCGCGTCATCCCTTGGCACCCTCCAACCGTCCTCCGACAGCCTATCCAAGCCGTCACATCCCGCTGGCGTTCCTATAATATTATTATTATTGTTGTTACACTTACGCGCACACACATATTAATATATTATTATTATACGAACGAGTTACCGTGCTTCAGCAGTGTAGTTATAATATTGTATAGGAATTACGTATTATTATAATGTTAATAATAATATTTAATTAATTGTATTATGAAGTATATTATAGGTAATATTATTATCTCATACGAAAATGCATCGACAACACAACGGTGTTATTTTGGGAGCTTGCTGGATCGTTGTAGTATTGTAGTGATGTATTGTCGGGTTTAGGATGCTGCAAAGTGCAAATCTAGTTTTATCGAACTATATTTAATGTAGTTGTATTTTTACGATGGTGTCAGCGGGTGGTTGATGATAATATTATATGATGTTTTCGTTATATATTAATTATTATTACTGTCATTAATATGTCACTACCATGTAATATTTTTATAAAAATATATTTTATACGACCGCATGGGTTTAATAATAAACTGCTGGCGGCTGTTATTGTAGTAAATCGCATTATGTTTCTATAATAATTATTGTTGAGTCGTTGCGGCCGTCATCGCGGCCGCGGCAGGAAAGCTCTCTGTCCGATTTTCGCCAAATCAGATAACGGCGTGGCATTCGGGGGCATACGGTGTTTATAATCTCATTCGAGATCGAGGGAGGTCCGCTTTTGCAGCTTTCGTCGTCGGTTCATTAATCCTATATAATAATAACGGAACGTCGGAACCGAAAATAGAAAAAATCGGCTTACACATCGCACACATATTGTCTGTATAGAGATAATATAATTATTACAACCCCGCGCGACTGCGGTGAACGAACCACGAGTGTGCCGAGTTTTCCCGGTGGTACATTATAAACCTTAGGATAGTGGTGGGGGGGGATTGAATGCTCGGTTTTATACGTGATACCACTGATACCGCATCACCACAATAGCACCCGGTAAACGCACGTTCGTTATATTAATCGTCGTTACTAGTGTAATAATATGTATATGTCAGGTCGCCAGGTCGGATGAAACGATAATAATATAACGAACCAATTATATATACTGCTCTCAACGCTATGCCGAAATATATACCTACATTATACCTGTGTGGCTGTATGTAATTCAACTGGAGTCTTAAGCGCCTTTGTGTATATTATAATATTATAGTATTATGTATAGTGTACCGTGCTCAGATATCGCACGTATGCGAGATTATGTTGTACTTAAGCTTTCCGGGAGCACAAATACCCCAATACATCTATCAAATCCTCGGTAATTTAATATGCCCACGTGGGTCGTGGTGGGCATCATATCGCGGGTTAGACCACAGAATATATAACAATTAAACGTATAATTGTGCGAGACACTACTTAAAAACTAAAAAAATAGGTAATATTCGGTTATATGTGACCGATATAATATAGGCCGCACGGAACGGCTACAACGACAATTTAATATAATAGCTCATCGCCTTCTGCAATAATATGTGCCATAATGTATATTATTAATATAATCGTTCCTATAATATTATAATCATATTCGTGAATTTGGCCGTCATTATACGTGTTCGTACAAAATAATAATTAACTCTAATACACTGTGCTGTACTTGCCGGTGCAGATGTTCGACGAACGAATGTAAGCGCTGCGGAGGCCGCCGGTGCAGCAGGGCCCATGCGCCCCCTTTAATAACCTTTCGATGCAGCTAACGACGACCGTCGAAGACACATTGTCCGTGGCTGTGCAGACGGCTGCGATGTGGGCCCCGGCCTAGGGCACTGATTTCGAACATGACGGCGGGTGCGGCGCACGTGTGACGGTCACGGATCGAATGGCACTGCTGCTGCTGCTTGTGCTGCCGCTGCTGCTGCCGGCACGGTGGCGGCGTTCGACTCGTGGGGATTTTCCGCGGCGCGACCTGGGAAAAACGACGACCGTTTGCGCGCGCTCGACGCCGTATTTTCGATCCCGTCCGACACCGCCGACGCCACCGCCGCCGCCACCGCGCCTACCACACGGCCTCGTTGAAACCTCTCTAGATATTCCTCAGTCGAATCATGATGATGATGATGATCTTCATCATCATCATAGTCATTATCATCATCATCATCATCATTCTCCAGGCCACACATAATATATTATATCAATTATAATGTACAATATATATTATGGGTATATTATATAATATGCATTTTTTTGGTGGTGTGATGGTCAGAGGTAAATTACACAAACTTAAGGTGACAGACTTTCTTATTCACCGTCAATTGTTATCCAGTAAAACCCTTTTTTTAAAAAAACTAAAAATATATATATATTATAATGCCTATACTAAAGTCTATAATAGTATTATAATAATACGCTGCACACATTTTCATTATTATATTAATATTATTATATTATATACGGATAATCATATTTTGTTATACCAGTAGGTCTATTTCATGACTAAATTTTAAAAATATTTATTCAATAAATATTAAGTCACCCAAATTCTGGGGGCTTTTTATTTTACCGATTCTATACGTGAGTAATAATAATATAATATCTTTTTCACTTTTTCGGGGGTGGCTTAACATATTTTGATAAAGTTCTACTATAAGCATATTTTTCCTTTGAGGGAGTCATCAAATACCTACAACTATTGTTGACAGTAGTCACCTGAATTTTTTAGGGGGTGGGGGGCTACTAAACGCCTACACGCGGCCCCGGTGAAACCTCCAACTTCGAATCATCATCATATCCCGAACGCACATAATATAATGTGTAATATATACATTTTTTTTAGGGGGGATAGGTGGATGTAAATTATAGGGTAAACTTAAGTGACTGGTTTTCTTTTTTATCGTCGATTATATTTCAGTAAAACCCTTTTTTAAAAGGAATACCTCTATAACTCAACCTACTATAAATTAAAATATACTCCACATGAAAACTTATATAGCAGCTGACCATTTCTTTCTCGATCAGTAAGGGATATACGAGCATATTATATTAAAGATATCCTATACCAGGGGTGACAAAACTTTTTCGATATTCTGACAATAATATATTTTTAATTTGAGAAGCCATAAAAATTCATACAATTATTGTCGATACTCAATAGTGGTCATCGGGATTTTTCTTGGATAGGGGGGGGGGGGCTACTATAAATGTATAGTAATCAATTCTTACAAAAGGAAATCGAATTTTAAATCGTTCATTATGGTTAATCATTCGGCCACTCTTCCTCTATTTAGTCTATATATTGTAATAATAATATTATTATATGATAGTAATCGTTCACTGTACGGCATAAAGCACATAAAACGTTCTTTTTTTCTTTCTGAATTTGGGTTCCCTTTTCATTATAAATGTACACAACCGATAAATTAATCACTATTATAGTGGTAGTTTATAGTGTCCCTAGATGTGTTTTAGATTCTTAAGTGTAGCCAAGTAATACGCATTTACCACGGTTGTTTTTTTATTATATTTTTCCGTGACCGTTTTTTACGAGTGAAAGGAATGCTCAAAAACTTTCACGTAGCCTCTTCCGAAATCGAGTCTAAACGATATACTTTGAAGGGTTAACTTTTAAGTGTCTCAAACCGCATAATATAATATGGAAAAAACCGACGGCCGCCGACAATTTTTGAATGAATGTCAACAGGCGCGTGGTTTTGACCGTGTTCCATTCGAAACTGTTTTTTGAACGCTACGATTTACTATGCTTCCGAATTTAATGTCGCAACAAATCAGCAAATAATGAGCACAGCGGGTCGCGGGAGATGAGTCTGGCCTTTTTTTTATTCTGTAACATACACTTATATAAGTTATATTTAACAGTATTTTAAAATATAAATCAACAAAATAAAACGCTTACTCATAACAAAAAAAAAAAACCCCCACACAATAAAAAACAATAATGTACGGTTAATGGGTTTTTTTTTTCTGCGTCTCTTTGACGTGTAATATTATAATAAACGTTTGTATATTATACGACACGCATCTATTGTCACGTTAAAATAATAAAAAAGACACTCGTCTATTCGGTAAAAATGAGTATTATAGTCGTATAGACTATAGTTATTATTGTTTATTATATACATGCAGTAGTATACAAATACAAATGTCAGCGGAAGTTTGGCGGTTTTGTAAGCGTATATACAATATAATTATTATAGTCTTGTAGTCAGCCGCATCGAAGTTTGTCGGATTGTTACTGGATTATTATACTTTGCATCCCACACCTACCTACAATCTACACGTTTGCGAATCTATTTATATTATATTATTATTATTACATCACTCGGCACCGGCGAATAACACAATATATTTATACGACTCGTGTCACGGAATCGTTCGGGAGGAAAAACGATCTCACTATGTAAAAGATTTCGGTATATAGGTATACCTGCTAGTGTATATAGCTATATGTTATGGGTACAGACGTTTGTATACCTATAGATTTGTTCGCGGAGAGCCCGTGCGATCTGTTTGGAAGTTTTTTTTCCTCTATCTCTCTCTCATTTCGTATGCTTCAGGTATTATTCGTATTCGTATATTGTAATACGCCCCACGCGTATATCGATCGGCCGCGCTAATAAAATGCATTAATATGTAACAACGAATTAAAGCCCGCCCACGTATCTACGACCGGTATAGATATATATAATATATAAAATATACACAATATATGTAAAGTTTTCATCGAGACGTCCGTACGTACCTATGATGCACATACCACATAATATACACGCACCTATATATATATTTTAATATGTGTATGAGTTTAGAGAGCTGGTTGGAGGCATACGTCTTTCCTTCATATCGGTCATGCGTATATATTATAAGTGTGTGTGTGTGTGTGTAATGTGTATAATAAATAATGTGTATTGTGTGTATATAGTTCAAAAGCGCGTAGGGTACTATATAGGGTTACATTATTGAGAGTTTACATTTCTATACGAATAAACGTTTTCGTCCCGTATTTTAAATATATTCAGCTATTCCTTTTCAGAGTTAATCTATATACTTACACACACGCATAAAATACAAACATTCAAACATATATTATAATATATATGTATATCAGCATATTATGTACTATTACTATATATAGGTACTATATTAGAATATTGCAGCAATAAAATAAGTTTGTTAACATTTGACGTTCGAGTATAGGTGAAACAACGGATTGATGATTGATTACAAATTATAACGTTTAAGTTTTATAAAGTTTAGACAGCTATAGTTAAGTATGTACCCACCTATAAAGTGAGCGAAAAGTGTCTTATGCTTACTAGTTATTATTATAGGCAAAACGTGAATTCAATGCATTATAAAATAAAAAAAAATGCATTTCAAATCTAAAATTTTAGTTTAAAATACAAAATAAAAGTAGTTTCAAATTTGAATTTCTTGTTACATAATTCAAACTATCTGAAGAACGCTACATTATTAGAACCTAAAATAAGTTAAATAAATTGCACTCTGCGACAAATGCATTGCCTTTGTTATTACTATACGAGGTATATTTATTTAATGTAAGACACATATTATTTAGGAAAATACTAACGTTTTTGAAAATATTTATTTTGTATAATTTTAAGTCGTTACAAACTTTTACAGAGAGGGCACCCCTGTACCATTACATTCCACTTATGATAACTTTAAACATATAATAATACATAAGTATAACTGTTATAACAATTCGTCCAAAATTCGGTTCTTATACATCAAAGTGCTCCAAAAAATATTCTGCTTTGGAATAAGGAATTAAAAAGTATATTTTCAATAAAAAAAATAATAGATGCATAAAAATAGAAATATAGAAATATAGAAATAATAGATTTATATATTTTTAGAAAAACTTTTTTTCAATGACAAACTTATGTAAAAAAAAATATATAAAGTTGATCACCCAGTATGTTATTATTTTACTCTAACTTATTTGAACATTTTAAAGTTTTAAACTCCATAGTATAAAACTATTATAATATAGAATGTTATATTATTGCATAATACTTAGGTATAACTTATTAACATGAAAATGTTATTAAATATTCTATAATTTAGGTATTAAAGTTTTCTTTATTTTATTTTTTTTATCCTAAGTCTGACAATATTTCTGAAGTAAGAACATCGGTTTCTCTGTGAATACTGAATAATAAACATAGATAATCCATTGAGTCTGTTCTGATTCATTGTATTCTTTAAGTATATTTTTATCCTCCTTAAAGTAGAACATTTTATCTCTGACGTACTAGTCAAAACAGGCAATGTCGAAAATATTATGTTTATAAGTATAAATATAAAGTTACAAATATAGTTTCAAATATAGTTTTATTACACAACTACACAAGTTTATCGCATCAATTGCATTATGTGGTAATGAATGAATTTGGCAATAAAACTTTTTGTACCACAAATCAAACTCAGCATCTGCAGCATTAACGCCATTTTGTGGTATATCATTTTTATAAAATTCTAAAAGTTTTAAATACTGTGATTTTTCTGCTTGACTAGGAGTTTTTCCAGTTGATAGGGGGCATTTAATACTTTTAATAATATATTTTTTCTTTAAAAATCGTTCTAATATATTATTTACGAAAGAACCTCGGTAGGTAACGATGGAATGAAATAGCACGTCTACCTATAATATTCCTCTTTATTTTCTACAGGTGCATTACACCGATAGTTTTAAATTTTTGTTAATCTATGTAGGTATAGTAAATTGTTGTTTCTAACGCTTCTAACGTAGGACGTGTGGAGTTTATTGATCAAATAGGTACTATGTATACTTAAATTATAAGTCAGAATACTGAATTATTAAGTAATTCTCTCTTCAGACTTCAGTAGTACTTAGAGGCTTATGAAATACAATAAAATAAAAAGGAATTTAAGATTAATAATGTATATAAAGTCGAGTCGCGATAACTCGAACCTCGATAGTTCAAAAAACTTGACAACTCGAATTGTGTTTTATTCCCCTAAAATATGTTTCCCCTATAATTTAGTTTGATATCTCGAAGTGAATTTTATCCCCCTTCAACTTCCAGTTATTGCGACTCGACTGTATTATACACATTACATTTAATGCATACAAAGTATAATAATTATGAAAGCCCATCAGAACATAATCAATATTATT